CAAAATAATATGTACCTCCTCGGCTAGGTGGAATTTACACCACATCATTTCCTAAGGTATCCTTTCTCTCTCTAATTGTTATGCATAAGAAGAAAAGATTCAGAAATGGATAAAACTCAAACAAAGAATCTTATTTTCAAGAGTTTGAAAGACACAGGGTCAGAAATGGGAAATTAATTTTCATGCAAATGAATTAAAAWTTTTTATCATTATCTGCTGCCCAATATCTATTTCACAGGCCAAGTGGGACCACTGTAGTTTTCTCTTGTTTTCATTCAAATATAATTTAAATTTCATTTTGTGGGTCTAACAGATCAACAAAGGTCATTTCCATCAGTCTTCATTTCTCCCTAAGAATTTAGGAACGGGTGAATAATTTAATGAGTGCTTACAAGCTATTTATTAAAAGTTTCAACCATCTTGTTTCTTTGTAGCTTCTAAGGATGCTACTGAGAGCTTCTTCACAGGCAACCCTCATGCACAGTCATATTCAATATTACATTCGGCTTGCACTTGTGATTTGTGGAGTTTGTCATTGTTTTGATTACCATTCTTTCCATTTTCTCCATTAACTGCCCCTGAGGGAGGGTTGTCAATCTATCATAATTTATTTATCCCAAGCTATTAACTACAAGTGTTTCTTGACAATACTTGTTTCTTTTTTGGAGCTAAGATTTTGCAGCTCAGTGTCCACATTTTTCTCCCCTTTCTTTTTCAATATTTCTCCCCCTGCAAATCCAGCAATTCCTCCACCCACAGCTGCAGCTGCTCCGATTTTTAGACCAAATACAAGTCCAATGGGGCCTCCAGCAACACCACCAATCAGTGCACCAATCACAGGTAACATGGCTGCTTGCAGCTTTCTGGCCTAAGAAAAATACAAATTACAGTATGTATTATGGTTAGGCTTGTTTGAACTATGCTTTGAGCTGTGTGAGATAAGGAGAAGCTCTTACAGCTATTTTAATGAAATAAATGGCCTTTACTATAATTTGTTCTTCAAACTGCACTGTCATTACACTGGTTCAAGTCCATGAGTTCATCAAACAAGAATGATGGAACATTGGGAATGCCAAAATCCAACTAGTAAATAAAGTATGAAACAAAGACAGGGCCTTTGGTGTTACTAGGATATATTAAGCAATAAGCCATAGATTTCTGTGGGTTACTGGCAAAATAATTCATGCGGGATGGTTGGGAAAACATGAGAAAAGATCATGAGCTATTATGTGTTCAGTTAAACTGGGAAAAGAGTATGTTTACTGTTTTTGCACAACCAATACTACTGAACACATGGYTAGAACCTAGCTAGCTTGCAGAGCCCTTTTGATGGGTTTGAGGAAGAATCAGGGTTTTGGGGTTCCTGTTTCGAGCAAGGGCCTGAGAGAAAAATGGGACCTAGCCCCCTCCCCGTTTGCTTCTTTTTTGCTCGRTTTCAATTCTTGCTCACTCCAAAGTTCCAAATTTCCCCCAAAACCCTGGTTTTTCCCCAAACCCACAAGAACACCTAGAACCTAGCAGAAGATCATTCCAGCTTGCATTGTCATAAATTGCAAGTTTACATGCAAGGTGTTGCACATAACTCAAGGAATATAAATATAAGTGAAAATACCTTTCCCAATTCAGTTGTGCCCTGTTGAACGTTGACATGAGCATTTTCAATGTTGTCAGTAATGGAATCTAAATTTGACTGTTGGTCCTACAAATGTGAAGAACAAATAAGATTCAAATTTATTATACTCTGTATAGATGTATATTATTTTAATATAATATGCTATATCTATGGATATACCCTGTATAATTAAATTAAAGGAATATTAAACACATGGGCATTTCTGAGCTGTAAAGCTTGAGAGAAGCTCTAAAAATATTGTATATTATTATTATTATTAAGCAAAATTAGGAACATGAGGCATTAAGCCATTCTCTTGCTTTTGAAGTGCTGTACYGCTCCCAGAGTGTCTATATCACAATACAGAGACATAAACAGCCATTTAATGTTTTTATAAAACATTATTAAATAGTTAATTAATTATTAATTAATTATTAATTATTTGATAATATTTTTATAAAACATTATTGAATGGTTAAATTGTGTGAGTGTCTCTATCCTCTGGTATAAACATGGTATCCAGCCAATCAGTGCACACGTTTCCTTTACAAATATTTTATAAAATACCATTTCATTACACCTGTGTAGCCCCAAGCGTGAATAATAATACTCACATGAACTATTTCAGAAAAGTCATGAATAAGAGTGTTGAGGTCTTCAAGGCTCTAAACACAAAATATATAAGAATCAATTATTACTTTATTATATTATGAGTGTTTTCCATCATGGTGTTTGGCATTTGCAGGCCTGTCAGATTTAGTAAGGGTATGCCATTTTAGTGGCTGAGTACTAATTGATTGACCATAGTCATGTGATAAGCTGACTTCTGCCGAAGCAGATCAAATAACAAGACTGATGACAATCAATGTCAGATTACATGTACATGTAACCTTTATCAATGAAGACCATATTAATTTTACAGTATTGTATAGTTCCAGAAATGATCCATACCCCCTCCCCCACCCAAGATATGTAGGAATTTGGGATTTACAAGGGGTGCGTGTGTGTGGGGGGGGGGTGAAAGGAAAAAAATTACAGAGTTTGTACGGAACAAAATTGAAATTTCTGGGTAAGGGGGGGGGGGGGGAGAAGTTTGAAAAATTCCTCCGTAGAAAAGGAATGGATAAATTCTGGAACTACACATTCTATTATGGTTGTTGATCTTCACTCCATTATAAAATGGCCTGCCATACACACCTCTTGAAGGACATCCCATGAAGCTGAAGTTTCTTCTTCTAAGAGCATCTGTTGCTGTTGATAGTTTGTCTCCAGGGATGGTAAATGTTGAGTGGTTTCACMATCTTGTATTCCTGGATGTGAAGATGAAATATGGCAATATTAATATTGAAACTGTGCAGAATGAGTATTTATTAGTAATAACATGACTTAGTAATGTCATACTTACTTGAATGGGTATCTTTAACCCAATCACCTGTGTCATGATTACTGTTAGCAATGCTTGCCGGGTGCAACAGAGTCAAATAGTCCGCAATGCTATCACTGACAATACCTTTGTGCCAGCATGCAGTAAATCACTTACTTGATCAGTCTATGCATGCTCTATAAGAACATATCAGTGCTTGATAGGCTAAGCTTAGTAAGTCAATATATCCTGGCATTAGCCCAGCAGAGTAATCTATTAGCCCAGATCTCTAGTTATAATCCAAAAACCCTACTAGCTTATGGACTAGTGAGTCCTAATTTTCACTAGCCCGGAGAAAAGATTTACTAGTCCCAGACTAGTGTCAAGAACTGCATAATTATACTAAAATTACAATGTACCTTGTACATATCCTGTCCTCCTGGGTCTCTCTGAATAAAGTCTCTGCACCTCTCTAAATGCCCTGACACCCTGTAATGCCTCATCTTTGATTTCTGCTACCCGGTTATCAAAGAGTTGAATGTCTGATGCTTGCAACTGCCGTCTGATGTTTTCCAGTTCACGAATGTTCACCTTGAGTTGCTGAAAAGAAGATAACATTACTCTTTAATTATTAAAATATTAAATCTGTTTTAAATGTTGTACTATTTCCTTTTAGCTTTAATTATCTTAACCATGTGATGTAGCATAATATTTTAGTATGTTACCTGGACTGTTCTTGCTGCATTGATTTGTTCTGCATTCAATTCTTGCCATGATCCTGTTTGATAAAACTAAAGAACAACCATTAAACGTATAACTGTTGGCATGAGGAATACTGGAGAATCTTGAGAACATCCTTCTTGGCAAGACAGCACAATACAGCCAACAAATTCTACTCCCATATAAGCTAAGTGTCAACCCAACACAATCCTACAGGATCCAGAATTTCAAGGGAGGGTTCCAAGATGGCTGCCACACAGAAATAAAGTTGGCACCGTGGACTTCACAAAGGGGGGGGGGGAGGTTCCAATTTCATTTTACTAAGGGTAAAAATGGCTTAAGGTACCCATGGAAATCATTTCCCTGGAGCCACTACTGCAACATTGGTGAGAGAATGCACTTGATATACCTTTGTGGCATAGATGACCATTGCCATCAATATGAGTGTTTTGGTTTCATGGTTATTTCAGGATGTATAGATCCAGAAATTATCCTACTGAGGAATTTTTTAAAGACCCCCCCTACCCCCAGGAATTCCATACAAGCTCTTTGTTCTTTCTCTGAACCTCGGAAATTCCAAATTCCTCTTTGGGGGG